TGACATCTTTGCTCTTCAACACTTTAAGTAAGTCTTGTGCAGATTTGCCTAATGCAACACGTCATTTGATTTGTTGACTGCTGCTTCCATGAGTGTTGATGGTTGACCCGAGCAAAATGAAGTCATTGACAACTTCAATCTTTCCTCCATTTATCTGAATGTTGTTTATTGGTCCAGTGGTGAGGATTTTTGTCTTCTTTACATTGAGGTGCAACCCATACTGAAGGCTGTGCTCTTTGACCTTTATCAGTAAATATTATAAGTCCACTTCACTTTCAGCAAGTAAGGTTGTATCATCTGCGTATTGCAGATTGTTAATGAAGTCTTCCTCCAGTCCTGATGCAACATTCTTTTTCATATAATCCAGCTTCTTGGATTATTTTCTCAGCATACAGGTTGAATAAGTATGATGAAAGAATACAACCCTGTTGCACACCTTTCCTGATTTTAAACCATTCAGTGTTCCCTTGTTCTGATTGAACAACTGCCTCTTAGTCTATGTACAGGTTCCTCATGAACACAATTAAATGTTCCGGAATACCAATTCTCCACAATCTTGTCCTTAGCTTCTCATAATCCACACAATTGAAAGCCTTTGTGTATTCAATAAAGTACAGGTAAACATCTTCCTGGTATTCTCTGCTTTCAGCCAAGAGCCATCTGATGTCAGCAATGACATGCCTCATTCTACAGCCTCTTCTGAATCAGGCCTGAACCTCTGGGAGTTGTCTGCCAATGTATGGTTGCAACCATGTTTGTATTATCTTCAGCAGAATTTTAATTGCATGCAATATTAATTATATTGTCCAGTGATTTTTGCAATGCATTTGGTCACCTAACTTTGGAATGGGCAGAGATATGGATCTCCTCCATTCATTTGGTCAGATAGTTGTCTTCCACATTTCTTGGCATAGATGAGTGAGTGTCTTCAGTGCTGCATAAGTTTGTTGAAATATTTCACTTTTTTCCCATCAACTCCCAGAGCCTTGTTCTTTTCCAATTCCTTCAATGCACCTTGGACTTTTTCCTTCAGTATCATTGATTCTTGATCATATGCTACCTCTTGAAACGGTTGAACATCAACCATTTCCTTTTGGTACAGTGACGCTGTGTATTCCTGCCATCTTCTTTTTATATTTTCTGCATCATTCAATATGTTGCCAATGTTGTTAAGTGTTGTCGAGTTGGTTCTGACTCATAGTGACCCTGTTCATAGGAGTTGGACCGCTGGCCTTGCAGTTCCAACAGACATTGCCATCCAGCACATTGACCCACAGTGCCACATCCAGACTCATTTTCATTTTGCCCATAGAATCCTTCAACATTTCAAGTTGAGGCTTGAACTTTTTACTTCCATTCTCTCAACTTGAGAAATGCTGAGTGTATTCTTCCCTTTTGGTTTTCTAACTCCAGGTCTTTGCACATTTCATTATAGTATTTGACTTTGTCTTCTTGCGCTGACCTTTGAAATTTCTGTTCAGCTCTTGTACCTCCTCATTTCTTCCATTTGCTTTAGCATCTCTACCCTGGAGAGCAAGTTTCAGTGTCTCTTCTGACATCCATTTTG